ATTGCGTACTTGTACACAGAATTACCCAATCTTTATGAGCTCAAAATAATTTGGAAGAGTTTTCACAATGATCTCTTATGCAGGAGCCCCCCTTCCCCCCAGAGGATCGTTGGCACAGCCTTCTTCAGTCTTCTTCAACTTCAGGCCAGGGCGCCCTTCCTAACTGCACACTGTCTCAGCCCTCCCCACTGCCTGCTGGCCAGCTCTGCACCTCCCACTCCCACTACGTCCAAGCCCCTCCTGACAGCTCTCCATTGTCCCTCACATCTTGTTTGTTCCCATGTCTGTTCCTTTAGCCCCTCACCTAGCAGTGTCCTCTTTTCTCTGACAACTAACACCCTAGGCTTCCTGAAGGGCTGCTCCCAAGATGTCCCCGAAAAGCCTCTTGCTGCTGGTCACTGTCTTCCCTTATATTTAAGCATAGAATATTAACTTTGAAGAGGATCTTAAAGAACTCAATTATTGTACAGATGGGGGTCTTGGGCCAGTGAGGTTGGGACTTGCAAGAGTGACTTATTAGGGCCAACCTAAAATCAAATCCAGCTTCAGTCCCCTCCAGCCAGATGATGCTTTAACTCCTTTATGTGGAGGCTGAAAGAGGAAGATCTTGAGTTTGAGCCTAGTCTGAGCAACACAGCAAGTTCAAAGCCAGCTCCAGCTACACAGAGAGACTGTGTCTCAGAAAACCAAGGGCTGGGGATGTAGCTCAATAGTACAGTACTTGCCCAGCATGCATGAGATCCTGGGTTTAATCCCCAGTACCACAAAAATAAAAAGTCTTGCTCAAAATGATATTGAAAAGAGACTGCAATTTTGTAAGACTTATTTAAAAAATCATAAACACAATGTAATTGCTACTACTACAAATGGCTTGTTGTCTGACAGTAAATGAATATGCTGTGTTTTTCCCATAACTAGAAAACAAAACTTTGATGCAACAGAACAGTACATGGAGCAGTAAGAATAGATACAGTCCTTCCTTTTCCATAAATTTTCTCTACTTCTGCATCTGCATTTTCTGTTATAAGTGAAATGCCTGACCCTCAACTTGAAAACCTTTACTAAAAAACTATTTGCACAGAAGATGTGTGTGTGTGTGTTCGAGAGAAAGAATAAGATTATAATAGTGGGTCTATTCAAGGGAACTACAGGAAGGCGAGAAAGGCAAAAGAGAATGATAGTGAATGATATTGAAACACAATGCATCTGTGTACGAAGACAGTGTAACATAATGCACTGTAAGCTGGTGGATAATAGGGGAGCAAGGTGATGGAGAAAAAGAAATAGATGGAGTTAATCTGATCAAAGCATCATATATACATGTCTGAAAAGCCAAAGCGAAACCCCCTTGAACAATCAATATATACTTAAAAAATGAAGGACAGGAAGGTTTTAAAACAGGTCCTGTCCAGGGGAGGGTACAGACAGGAGGGGAGAGCGTAATGGAGAAAGTGAAGGAGGAGAGAGGATGAAGGAGAAAGAGGGGGTGAATCTAATTAAGATACATTGTAAGCACATATGTAAATGTCACAATGAAACTCCCATGTATAACTAATAATAAAAAACAAGAATATTTACATGTGTGCGCACACATGCATTCCCAAATCTATACAATGAAAATGGTCTTTCACTACTGGTGTCAGGTACTTTAGGCCTTTTTCTTCTCTAACAAGCACCTTAGCTGCAAGCAGTCATGTTTTATTGTAGAAATGAATGGTAAGCACACACACTGGGAAAAGTACTTGGTTGGTTTCCATTAGGGTTTCTCAGCTGTGGAAATATGTGTTTCTCATATTTGGGCTGGACATTTCTTTGTTATGGGACTGTCCTGGCAGTGTGAAACACTGGGCATCATCCCTAGCGTCCACCCTCTACATGACTAGCACTCCCCTCTTCCCTGCCACCCAGTCAGAAAAACCCAAAGTTTCTCTAGCCTTTCCATCTAGGAGGCCAAATTGCCAACAGTGTGAAAATCACGTGTTCAGATTCAAGTACAAATTATGCCCTGTGGCAACCAGCCAGGACCCCTGACATTTTTCATAATGTTACTAGTTGTGGCACTTGTAGAAAATGAGATTTCTGTTACCTCAGGAATTAAAAAAAATCTACCCAAGGCTGGAAATGACCAGTGTGGGGGCTCCATCTCTGCCCAGCTGCAAGGGATGAGCAGCCTCTGTCGGACACAGGAGTGACCCATTCCTCCAAGGACAAAGGTTGAGAAGCTCTGCTCTGTGGGCCTCCAGTCATTGGTCATCTCTATGCTGCCCACCCTATCCGGCTGAGTAGTGCCTATCTCCAGATGCTGTCCAAGTGGCATGTGCCACCCCTGGGCCACCTCTGCTCCTCAGCTTGCATGTTTGGCAGAATCCAGAGAATGGTCACTGTTTGCAAAACAAGCTAATGGACTATGGGGCAATAAAAGGAAAGGTCTGACCACTGTGGCCCCAGGCAGTGGCGGAACCTGGAGAAGAGGCCTCCTCTCTCAGGAGGCTCTGAGAAACCATTCGACAGTGACCCTGGAAGGCTGCCTGATACAAATGCATGAAAATAGAACAACTAAACACATTCAAAATTGTTTTTAAAAGGAGGGGATAAAAAAGAGTAATAAAGGGGGTTAATTTGATCAAAGTACACTATATGCATGTATGGGAATATTACAATGAAACCCCTCTGTACTAATATACATTAGTAATTTTTTAAAGGAGTGGAATATTCACCTATGTACTAAACTACTCTTCCTAAGGAATGAACATAAATTTAGGATAATCCAGAGAAGAAAAAAGAGGGGATAGGAGAAGGGAGGAAGGAGCAGGAGTGTCTAGCAGGACACTGGAGTTTGCAGAGAAATTCCAAGTGACATCAGGGCCAAGGACTTTTAAAACCTGGAACATCCGGTAATCAATTTTTAACTGTTTGTGTTGCTGTGACATATGGCCCCTTCATCTACCCAAACCTTGATAAAGTTCTATTACTTAAAGAAAAAAAAAGGAAATAAATTCCTTTTAACTGAGCTAGGACCACTGAAGAAGAAACTCGATGTTCACCATAAACCACAAGTAATGATACCACCTTTTGGTCAAAGACACTCAAAAACAGAATTCGAACTCCTTCCATGTAGGGAAACAAACCAGTGACAAGAGAAGCAACAAGTAGCAGTAGGGCCCTGAAAACAAGACTCATTCCCAAACATGGTGGCTTTGCTGTGCTGAGCACTTTGGTCTAAAAGAAATTAAAAGGCCTTAAAAGCAAGCTCAGACTCCAGGTCCTTCTGCCCTTGTCGGGCTTCCCCTACCCAAGACCCCCAAGCACATCAAGGGGAATTTTCCAAAGTTCCCCGATCTGCCTGAAGTTCACTGACCAAAGAAGAAATGCTTTCTTTAACAGAACTCACATCACAGGAAGAAAGACCAAGTTTGTCAACACAGCTGAACAGGTGTCACATCCTTTATCCTTTCTTTGTGTCCCTGGAGAATCACCGACAATCCATTGTCTGTTCTGAGGACCCACTGATCTTGTCCCGGGCCCTGGTATGTTCTCCAAGCCCACAGAGTCCCCTAGAATTGTCAGCTCTTTTTTTTTTTTTTAGCAGTACTGGAGTCTGAACTCAGGGCCTCACACTTGCTAGTCAGATGTTTTGCCACTTGAGCCACTCTAGCAGCCTAGAATTGTCTATATCCCCTATCCTACCCTTCCCTAGAGAACAGCAGGCTGAAGGGTAATCCATACCTGTAATTTCCCAGCTATGAATTTTCCCCAGTAACACAATAAGAAGTTTGGATGCCTTTTTGTTTTCTATTTAATCTGTCTTTGTCAGTTTATTCCAGAGAGCGAGGAGTAATGCCTATTCTCCTACCATTCCTATTAGGAAGACTGAAAGCTGATTTTTTAAATTTCAGTTTTTAATGAAGTTTGTTACTTCTGTTTGCAGTACTGGGGATCAAACCCAGGGCTTTGTGCATGACAGGTAAGCACTCTACGACTGAGATAAACCCTCAACCCAAATTTTATCATTAAAGTGCTTTCAAAGGTGTAAGGCACTGAGCCCTACATTTTATAACTCACATCAGGGTGTGAAAAATCATTTTCTTATTTCTGGTCACATATTAAATTAGCATCACAGGTATAAGTATGAAAAAGTTATTCGTAGACAATGTCTTAGAACTTGAGGGCTGGGGCTGGAGCTCAGTGGTTAAGAGTTTGCCTAGCATGCACATCGCCCTGGATTCAATCCAGAGTTTGAAGAAGGAGGGAATCTACACTGTTACAGAGTGTAAAGAATAAGAAATAGCATGAAAGAGATTTATTTAAGCCAGCCACGCTCATGCCTGTAATCCTACTGGGAAGCTGAGATTGGGAAAATCATGATTCAAGGCCAGCCTGGGCAAATAGTCCACAAGACCCCATCTCCAGATGCAAAAACAGACTGGAGGTGTGGCTTGAGTGGTAGAGCACCTGCCTTGCAAGCACAAAGCCCTGAGTTCAAACACCAGTACTGCCGCACACACACAAAGATTTCTTTCAGCCAGGTGTGATGGTACACACCCATAATCCCAGCTCCTCAGAAAGTAGAGATCCAAAGGCTCAAAATTCCAGGTTAGCCCAGGCAGAGTTAGCAAGACTTCATCTCACAAAACAATCTGGGTGTCATGACTCACAACTATAATCCCAGCTATGAAGGAAGCGTAACTAGGAAGATCATGATCCATGCTGGCTTGAGATCCTATCCGAAATATGACTAAAACAAAAAGGACTCGGGGAGACATGGCTTGAGTGGTAGAACACCTGCCTAGCAAGCATGAGGCCCTGAGTTCAAACCCCAGAACTGCCAAAAAAGGAAAAAAATTACTTCCTAATAAAGGAAAGTAAGTAGGTAGCAACAAAAGTTGCAAGTATGAGGAGCAGGTGTTGCTTTAAAAATAAAGATTTTTAAAATAAGCAAAGTATGCAGGTGAAAGGAAGGAAAAGCTACCTGCTTATGAGAATGAGACTGGAGCAGTTACCTAATTTACACAAGGTGTCACTGAGGCTGATACTCAGCTGCTTCTTGACAAGTGAGGACCTGGCCAGGGTGTCTGCATTTTCCTTGATATTTATCACTTGCTTATAATATTCGGTTACTTGCTTCTTTTGAGATCTAGAAAATAGAAATTTAATTAAAAAGTTTTACACTGAAAGAACATGGCATTCATTCATATATTCACTCAACAAACCCTCACTGCTAGGACAGGGGAGTGCAAATGAGAAAGACTAATCTTTGCCCTCAGAGAATTTCCTGAAGTTCGAAGGGAGGTTGGTGACCGAAACAGAGGTTCACAGGTGAAAGTGCAAACCTGGGGAGGTTGGGGTTGTGTTTTATTTTTTAATTTTTCTTTTCTTTACAGAGCCGGGGATCAAACTCAGGGCCTCCAACGGTAAGTGACATCCCTGGCCCAGGGTTTTGGACTTTAATGTGCAAGAGCTTTCTTTCACATTTCATTTCAATGTGGTAGAATCAGATTGACATTGCAAAGAAACAGCCTGGGTAGAAGCTGGAGGCTGAGCTGAAGAAGCGATGTCCCAGGCAGGGAGACTCAGCAGTCCAGAGGAACAGTGTTGAGGGCCTGGACAAATGTGACCATGGATGTGAAGGGAGACCTGCGTGGCTGAGTCCTGGCCTCACACTGGATGTGGTGGTGCAGATGCTAGGGCTTCTATGGGAGCCACAGAGCGCCAAGAGCTCAAGCTCCAAAGCCAGGAGCCCCCAAGCTAGGCACAGTGGCTGGCTCTGTGCATTACCCTCCTGGGGCTCAGCCTTTTCACGCTCATCTGTGCATCAGTAATGTGTTTAGCCAATGACGGTAATAAACACAGCTAGGACAGATCACTAAGAGTCCACAGTGTCCACACCGGGTGCTGGGATGCTCAGCACTGCCGGGGAGTGAGGACTGTGCACGGCCAGTCCTAACCAGGAAGATTCTGGAATGCCACGGGATGCTCCACTGGAGATGTCCACATCTGCCACTGATAACAGACGTACATGGAGACCTAAGATCCTCCCTTATTTGGACTACTCTTTACCTTCTAAATACCCTTCCTCAGGGTTAAGGCTGATTTATCCTCCAGTGTTAGGGAATGCCAGTATCACATTCTTCCTGGGAGCAAAAGCAGGAAGAAATCACCTACTGGTAAGAGGTGAAGGAAAACAACCTTGGGAAAGTGGAAAACAGATGGAAAAGCCAGCGGGGAAGAGGGAGGGGAGGGAGAAGGAGGTCCAAAAACAAAACTTAGAAACTTCACAATTTAATCTACAGCACCCATGATCATCCCATCAGCTGACACTGTGGAGAAAGGGGGCTGCTGGACTATAGGAAGCCTGTGTTTGGCTCTCTGTGACTACACAAAGAATTCCTCTTACACGAACCTGCCAGGAGAAGTGACCAGACCTGGAGAAGCTCACACTGGTCAGCTCTGGGGGAAAGAGCCCCACAATCCTCCTTAAACTGATAGATGTGTGGCAGCTAAGGACAAGGTCACATCACAAAAGGGTCCCAGGCAGGGAGGGGCAACAGATAAGTATGACCTGAGGCAGGCTCTGGCCTCAGCCTCACAGAGCACACAGAGAAATGGGGTATGGCCCACGGACAGCAGCCAAGGCCCAATCCTTACTGAGAACCTGAGTACATTCTGCTCACAAGGCCTGTGAGCGATACTGGGAGCTACCCACGATGACCACACTGGACTCCTTTGTCCTTTCCCTGATGTCAAAATTTCTACCTGGTTTGTGGGTCCAGAGCTCCTTTTGAATTCATTATGGTCAGTGCCAAACAGAACTCTCAGGCAGTGTGAGTCCCCCTAGGTGTGTGAGACAAAAGAAGGGAGACTCCCTCATGGGTGACTGCAGACCTCCTGACATCAGTTTTTTGTTTGTTTGTTTATTTGTTCATGGAGGTAGGAAGGACACACATTTCTTGAAACATTTCATAAAATCTTACTTTTCATTATCTCTTGGTAAGAAAAACAGCAAATCTGCTAAAAATTCCATAATTTCTCCAACTAGCATGTTTTTCTCGCCAAACAAACTTCTCCTGATATTTAAGCACTCTTGAAATTTCATTTTTGCAAGAGAAGAGTTTCCAGCAACCAACCTGAAAATAAAACACATGTGTGTGATTCACTAGGCATGACAAATGTTAGCTATATTCATTGTGCTATCAAAAAAGGAATTCTCATGAACATCCTTTATTTTTGTAGAAAAATCTGTCCTGGAAGATATTTTTTTTAAAAAAAGAACTGCTTATAATAGTAGTAAAGATTCAAGAATTTCAAAGTCACTTACAAGAAGATAGTGTGAATATCTTTATATTTTTGCAACACTGGCACTGGAACCCAGGAGGGCCTTTTGCGAGCTAGCCTCCACCACTGAGCTTCAGCCCCATCCCCAGTAACATCTTTATTAAAAATCCAGAGCAGTTGGGTATGGTGGCACACACCTGGGATCTCAACACTTGGGAGGCAGAGGTTGGAGGATCACGAGTTTGAGGTCAGCCTAGGCTACATAGCAAGTTCAAGGCCAACCTGGGCTATATAATGAGACCCCATGGAAAAAATTAGAAAGAAAGGAAGGAGAGGAAAAGGAGAAAGAAAGAAGGGAGGGAAAGTGGGAGGGAGGGAGGGAAAGGAGAAACTAGAGTACGAAGTTAACCCCGGCACTGTCAACACTGGGGTGGATTATTCCTTGCTGTGGGGCTGCCTATGCACTGTAGGATGCTTAGTAGCACCCCAGGTCCCTACCCACTAGATACCAATAGCCATGTCCCACCCCAGGCATAATAACCTGCGTGTCTGCAGACATTGCCAACAGTGTCCAGGGCAAAGGAACAGCCCACGTGCCTGGCTGAGAACCACTAAGCTGGAGAGCAGAGATAATGGGGTTCAGCATTCCTTAGCCCAATCAGTTAGGGGGAAATGGACTCACAGGTGTGGTTAAGTATATTGATCCTAAGATTAAAAGCTAGTACAGAAAACAAGCAAAAAACTTTTTCAGAAAAAAATCCATGTTTACATGAGAACACCTTCGGTGAACTTCATGGTGGCTTGATCATGGGGATTGTTGTTCACTAACTTGGAAACTTCCATAGCATAATCCAAAATGTGATTTTCCTTTAAGAACTCCTCAGATGCTGACTTTGCCAGGTTATTCAGAACTTTGACTGCAGGGAATAAATGTCAGCAAAGAAAGTGATGCTTAAAGGTCTTTTCCACAGGAGTTAAGTGTTAATAGGACTAGCATTTAATAGCATTTCTTTATCACCACCAAAAGCCAGCCTTTTCTGGGTAAATCAACCATCAACCTATACTGAATGGAGATTGGTTTTACATAAGACATCTGTGTGCACGTGGCAGTTATAGGACCAAGGAGCTAAGACAATACAGTGAACCTGCAGACCGAGTCTGCTCTGCAAATGAACAGGTCAAAAATGGCATGAGAATGTAGATCCAGTGAGCTAGTCATCCCAGTGATAACTAACTCCTGCAAAAGGCAGCCAGTCCAGTTCTGTAATAAGACACAGTGAAAGAAAACAGTCTTAAACTAAGTAGCACACAAACAGGACCCATAGAGCCAATTAATAAGTAGTAGGCTGTACCTAGACACAGTCTTTGGTCACACACACTCTGCAAAAGCCTGACAATCCTGCTCCTTTATTGAATTAAAGATTACAGACTTTTAAAAAGTAGAAAGAATTTCCTAAACTATACTCTGTATGGGAATAGAAAAAAAAAAAAACACGAGTGTTTGGGTTGACTTTTGTTCCTTCAAAACTCATTTGTTAAAGTCCTCAGAATGGAACTGTATTTTTGAACAGTTTTTAAAAAAGAGATAATTAAGTCAAAATGAGGTTATTAGGGTGGGCCTTGATCCAGTTTGGCTGGTGTCCTTATAAGAAGAGACTAGACCCACACACAGAAGACCATGTGAGAGGACGGGGAGAAGGTGGCCATCTGCGAGCTGAGGAGAAATCAACCTGATGACACATTGACCTTGGACTTCCACCTCCAGAACTGTCAGAAAAAAGTTTCTTCTCTTTAAGCCCCCAGAAGCTTCTGTTACAGAAACTCAAGCAAACTAAGATGGTGGTGTTCTGAGAGGGCATTAATAGAGCATTTGTACAGACACAGAAAAGCAGAGTTAACTCCCTGGGTTTTGGAATTCAAACTTAATTGTAAGGGATTAACACTTTGTTACCATCTTCAGTGCTACCTAATTCATCTTCCAGGCCCATTGTGTCCTTTTCTGCCCCCATCCAGGGCCTCACACTTGTGCCTGGACACCAGGGTGGGATAGCCACATAACTGGTCAAAATGACCTCAAAACAGAAACAGATGTTGTTAGCCGCACCCTAACTCCCTGCAATGGCTTCCCCTCAGAAGAAAATCCAAATGCTTGCTCAAGGCAATCTTAGTCCACGACCTCCTGCCTTTTGCTCACAGAGGCCTCTCATTCCTAGGAAGGGCCCAGTCCCTTCCTGACCCCAGGGCTCTGCATATGCTGTTCCCATTGCCAGGACTGCCCATTAGGTCTCACCTTCGTTGTCCCATCCCCAAGGAGGCTTCTTGACCCCCCCCCTTGTCACAGGTGGGTCCCACACATACTTTCTAACTCCATCCATTGCATTTATTACAGCGTGTGATGGTTAAGCTTGATTGTCAATTAGATCAGATTGAGAGTTATCTAGGAGATGAGTACAGCAAACATCTGGGTGTGTCTCTGAGGGCATTTCTAAGACAACTAACTAAAACAGGAAGAAGACTGCTCTGCATGTAGGTGGGCACTGTCCATGAGGCTGGGGGCCTGGGAATACAAGGGGAAGAGCAAGAAAGGCAGCTAGCACCAGCATGCTCCTCTCATTGCTTCCTGGCTGCCATGAGGTGAACAGCTTCCTCCTCACACTCTAGCCGCCATGATGCTCAGCCTCACTTCAGGCCCAAAGTAATGGAACCAGCTGACCATGGACTGCACCCTCCAAAACCATGAGCCAAAATAAATAATTACTCTCTTTAAGCTACTTTTCTCATGTATTTGTCACAGCAAAGGAAAACTAACACACCCTGTAATCATTTTGGGTGTTGCTTCGCTAGTGCAGTATATAATACAGCCCTCAGAGGGCAGAGTTGGAGTTCCTGTCCCATCACTGTTCTGCACTCACCACAGTGCCAGTGCAAAGCAGGTGTCAGTAAATACTTTTTTGTGTGTAAGTGAGATATCAGAGATTGAACTCAGGGTCTCACGTTACCAATTGAGCCATATCCCCAGTATTTTTGCTTTTAGTTTGTTTTTGAGAGAGGGCCTTGCACTTTTACCCAGATCAACCTCTGACTCAGATCCTCCTACCTGTGCCTCCCAGTAGCTGGGATTACACCATAGCCAGTCTCCTCAGCATTTCTTGAATGGGTGACCTCTGGTCAAACTGGGGGAATCCTTCCTTCCACTTCTGCTTTCCCAGACCCTGAAGCCCACCTGACTCCTGACAGAGACTAGAGCACAACACGTTCCCAGCAAAGCTGTCTCCAATGGCAGTGATAGGACCTTCACCAGCCTCCACCCAACCCCCTGCAGCTTTAGCCACAGTGTGTGCTTTCACATTCTGTAGACAAGACAGACTGTGTGCTGGATTGCCCAGCTGCATTTGAGAGCATAAGTGTTCCCAGTTTCACCCTGATTTCCCCTGCTCATCAAGGCCCAGCATGCCTAGGTCCAGGCCTGCCTGCGTCAGAACAACTGGGAATCTAGACTATCTGTCAAAGATCACAGCTTCATAAATATCTAGAAGAGTTCTGTATGGCGAGGAGCCATCCAAACAGATCCAGCATGGCCTCCTGGCTCCAGGTCTACTAGCTTCAGAGCTGAAGCAGTCTTCAATCTCCGACCTCCAGCTTTCTCATCTGTAAAAGGGGATAATGAGACATACTGCACAAGGTATGATTGATGGTGAGCATAAAATGCCTTGAATGTAGTAGGCCATCCACAAGTGATAGCTATGACTATAAAAGTGAATTCACAGAGGGTAAGGAGTTTCCCAAGGTGGCTTTTGATCTTCTAGCCATGGTGAGAGATTACAAAAGCAGCTGCAACTCTTCGCATTAGCCTGTACCCAGCTCCCTCTGACCAATCCCCCATCAAGAGGTGAATAAATTTCTGTGACTTGGAAAAGAAGGGGGCATTGTACCAGCTCTAGGTTCCCACTCTACCTCCTGGAATCCTGTGAGCTACCAAGAGAGCAGGCCTAAGAAACCATCTGGCCACCCTGTCGCCACAGCCAAACACCAGCTGTCTTAGCTCAGCCAGCCCCATCGGCCCTGCCAGCTTATTTCAGATGCTTACATGAGCTGAGCCCAAATCTGCTGAGCCCACTCTGGACCAGCCGAATCCATTATCTGATTCATGGACACCAGACCAAAAATACGTGTTATCTTAAGCCACTCAGTGTTTATAAAGCAACAAAAGCTAGCTGGTCATGGCCATCTAAGCATGACTAGTCTGGAGTCTTTCAGTCTGACATGAGTGGGTCAAAACTGCTAACCACAGGTTGATATTCCTTATCTAAAATGCTTGGGACCAGAAGTGTTTCAGATTTCAGAGTTTTTTTGATTCTGAAATATTTGCTTAGACTAACTGGTTTAACATCACCCTAAACCAAAATCCAAAATACTCCAAAATCTGAAAATGTGGAATATCATGTTGACTCAAAAAGTCCCAGATCTCGGGGCATTTTGGATTTTGGATTTTGGATCAGGGATGCTCAACTTGTACTCTAGTTCAATAAACATTCTTTGCCTATTATATTGTACCTGCTACCATGTTGGCCTCAGGCATCAATTCCAGAGGAAAAAAAATAATCAGTGAGGATGGAAGTGCATGCCAGACATTGTTCTGGGCACTTTTGAGCTTCATAACAATAGGCAGTATAGATGCTGTTTTTACCCTACCTTGCAAACATGAAAACTGTAACCCAGAAAGTTTAAGTCATGTCTCTAAAAGTATGGACTAGTAAACAGAGAGGTGGGGTGTGAACCAAGAAAGCTGGCTTCAGAGTCAAACTCTGAAAATCCCTCAGTGCTTAAGGCCTCCTTTTTTATAGTGCATCCTGGCACCTTCGACATTCCGAAGGAAAGCTCAGCCCTCCTCCTCCAGCAGCCACCCATAAAATCCAAGCTGATGAAGCCCATACTTCTGTTTCCCTCTACCCTTGGATGGGGACGGCCCAGAAGGAGTGGGGTTCTGAGACACAGGGTGGCACCCCCTGCAGGTGTCTACCATATCTTTCTGCTTTGTCAACTCCTGGCTGACTTTTAAGTCACTGAGTGAAAAACACAGCAGGTTTGACCACGCTTTCTGGAAGTACTTGAATCCTTCCTGAGCCATCCCGATTTCGAGGTACAGTTCTCCGATGGCATTCTGAGCTTTGAGGAGCATTCCCCTACTAGCCTGGTTCTGCACAAAACGAGAAAGGGAGCCACTCCTGAGGGAACACAGCATCAGACAGAGATAGCTGTTGGACCATGCTCAACAAAGGCTCATTTCATAATGAATTTGGATGTGTTACATTGCCTCTTGGGAATTTTAAATATTTATCAAATAAATGACTATGATGAAATCTTTTTTTTTCTTTTGGTAGTGCTGGGGTTTGAACTCAGGGCTTCATAGTTGATAAGCCGGTATTCTCCCACTTCAGCCACTCCCCCAGCCCTGTTTTGGAGACAGGGTCTCACTTTTTGCCCAGGCCAGCCTGGACCTTGGTCCTCCTATTTTATGCCTGTAGCTGGGATGACATGCAAGCACCACAATGCCCAGCTTTTTTTTTTTTTTTTGGTTGAGATGGGGTCTCACATACTTTTTTGCTCAGGCTGGCCTAAAACCGCAATCCTCCTGATTTCTGCCTCCCTCGTTACTTGGGATGACAGGCATGCCCAGCTATTGGTTGAGATGGGGTCTTGAGGACTTTTCACCCTGGCTGGCCTTGAACTGTGATACTTCCAATCTCTGCCTCCCAAGTAGCTAGGATTATAGGCACGAGCCACCAGTGCCCAGCTGATTGTGATAAACTCTTTATCAGGGGACACTAAATACTAAAAATATATCTTGGACCATGTTTCCACATGTTTTTAGTTAATGGAAATAAAAATTTTTGAAGAATAACCTGGCCATGCCTTGCAGGTGAGAAGTGCTCCAGTAGAGATGGCATCCAGAATTCAAATGAATGACTGGAAATGCTACTTGAATTTAAATGTAACCAACCAGAGAGCTGCTAACTTTATGTCTCACACATTTTTGCTTAGAGACTTGAATTTAAATTATCCTTACCAGTCTAAATTCATCTTACTGGTCTTATTTATTTCAGAGTACTTAAACTTCATTAATCTAACTCACTTATCAATAAAAATCTTAGCAGTGCATAAGAATATACTGCTTTCTTAAAGTCTTTCAAATGTCCTGTCCAAGCAATGAGAGTGAATAGCTACTGTGAACACTGTGTTTCAGAAAACTTAATAAGAACCAGAATATGTGTGACTGTGTTTAATAACTAATAAAGCAACATACAATGGACAGTGTTAACAATGTCGTTAGTCATCTAACACTTTATGCTGTATCACAGTGTCAGCTCAGATTGAACCTAATCAATTTGAGGACTGAGTCTTTCTACTCTCCAGCACCTACTGAAAGTGTCCATGTCAAACTGACCTTTTGACCTGGAGCGTCCAGATAAATGTCCTGTTAACAGCTTAGACCGGCTCTGAAAGACTGACTTCCTTGGCTTTGGAAGCAGTGTGGTGAATTCCCAGGCCTGTGGTACTTTTAAGCAATCCTTGGGGGTATACTTAACAGTGCCCCTTCTTTCACAGGTATTGTAGATCTTCAGCCTGCTATTCATCCTATCAACTTTCCATTCCAGCTCTACTGAGCTCAAATCCATGCTGAAAGATTGCCCTCAATTATTAGATGGAATTTGAATTGGTTATAAGTAACAAAACAAAAAAATGAACAGCAGCTTATTTTTCTCTCATGCAAAAGTCAGGAACCAGGTGGTCCAGAGCTATAGACATTCTACAATGTCAGGGATTCCAGAAATTTTATCTCATTGGTTGACCTTGCCTGACCTCTGTTCTCTAGGATACTACTTGGTCTAAAATGGCTGTTCCAGCTCCATCCATCATACCCACAATTCAATCATCAAGGAGAAGGAAAGGTATTATAGACTAAATGTGTCCTCTCAAAATGTCTGTGTGGACACCCTAACTTACAGTGTGATGGCATTAGGAGGAGCCTTGGTCAGGTGAAAAGGTTATGAGGGGGAAGCCCTCATGAATGGGATTAGGGCCCTTGTAAAAGGGACCCCAGAGAGTTCTCTCATTCCTTTTCTTCACATGAAAACACAGCAAGATGGCTGTCTATGAACAAAGATGCCAGCCCTCACCAGACACCAACTCTGCTTACGCCTTCATCTTGGACTTCATAATCATGAAATCATGAGAAAGGACATCTGTAGTTTAAACCACCCATACTATGGCTGTTATAGCTGCCCAACTAAGTCAAGGAGAGAACAGGAAACACCCTTCACTTACTGGAAACTTCTCATCATTTCCATTTATACCACATTGGCCAAAACTACAGCAGGTGTTCATATGTAAGGAAATGTGGTCTCCCAGGTAGCCTTCTTCCATGCAGCCATTTGCAGAGGGGGCATGTTACTCTGAGGAAAGGGGAACAGCCCCTGGAAAACTACAGTCTGTGCTGCATGTTGTTCATTCTCTTCTTTTAAATTTCAAATGAGGAGTGTTTCACACATTCCCTTCCCTCATGTCACCCAGAGAAAGAGAAGGCCAACCTCCTTCCTCTTTAGGAAGGCCCTGAGCTCTGCGTCTGCCTTGTCCCGGGGCCTCCTCAGATTCTCTGCCAGCATCTCCAATCTACTCCTCTCCCTGGTTCATTTTCTGCTCCACACAAATACACACATCTTGGATAAACTTGACCTAAGCCTCATACTCTACCGACTTTTCCTCTTTCTCCTTTTACTGACAAACATCTCAAACAAGCCTCATAGTGTTCTTCTCCACTTCATATCACACACCCTCCTCTTAAAGTTCTGCATCTTGTGCCCCAGCACTGACGAATGGATTAAGAAAATGTGGTATCTATACACAATGGAATTTTATGCAGCCATGAAGAAGAACGAAATGTTATCATTTGCTGGTAAATGGATGGAATTGGAGAACATCATTCTGAGTGAGGTTAGCCTGGCTCAAAAAACCAAAAATCGTATGTTCTCCCTCATATGTGGACATTAGATCAAGGGCAAACACAACAAGGGGATTGGACTATGAGCACATGATAAAAGCGAGATCACACAAGGAAGGGGTGAGGATAGGTAAGACACCTAAAAAATTAGCTAGCATTTGTTGCCCTTAACACAGAGAAACTAAAGCAGATACCTTAAAGCAACTGAGGCCAATAGGAAAAGGGGAACAGGGACTAGAGAAAAGGTTAGATCAAAAAGAATTAACCTAGAAGGTAACACCCACGCACAGGAAATCAATGTGAGTCAACTCCCTGTATAGCTATCCTTATCTCAACCAGCAAAAACCCTTGTTCCTTCCTATTATTGCTTATACTCTCTCTACAACAAAATTAGAAATAAGGGCAAAATAGTTTCTGCTGGGTATTGGGGGGGGGGAGAGGGAGGGGGCGGAGTGGGTGGTAAGGGAGGGGGTGGGGGCAGGGGGGAGAAATGAACCAAGCCTTGTATGCACATATGAATAATAAAAGAAAAATGAAAAAAAAAAAAGTTCTGCATCTTGGCTCTTGCCACACACCCTTGCGGTTGCCACTGACCACCTACTCATCCAACATAAGGGCTACTTTTCAGTCCTCATTTTCCAGACCTCTAGGCAGCATTTAATACTGTTATCCACCCCTTCCTTGGTTTGGGGAAAACTATGAAATTCTTATTCTCTTTCAACCTTTCCTTCTTCATGAAAAATTCTTTTACTTTTTTCCTTCTAAATATTAGCAATTCCCCCAAACCAACTCTTCAAACCTTGTTTCTTCTCATGGTTTCAGCACTCACCTGTCCATAGATGTCTCCCAGTCTCTCTCCAGATTTCCAATCCTCCATTTCCCTCACCTGGCAGGAAACTCCACACAGATGCTTTTCCTAAACTGCAAACTCAAAATGCCTCCCAACCCAATGTCCTCTCCAGACCTCCCCCATCTCCCAGACTCATGCTTTTGGGCTTTCCTGACTCCTTCAATGTTATAGCCATGTTTCAACCATGCTGAGACTAAAGCAGAAGCTCCTGTGACAGGGAGCCTGCCAGCTGCCCAGGCCACACAAACAGGCCACAGTGGCCCCTCATCTCTAGGTCCTACTGCCCACATCGCCAGAAAAATTGCATGCTCTGTGGTCTTACAGTGTCAGCTTCCTCTTTGTGAATACCTGCCTTTTCTTCCTCTCTTTCTACCCCAGACTATCTACTATCTACTCCTTGCAGGTAGAGACCCCAGAATCCGAGCACAGAACTCTATGCTTCATGGGAGTTCGGAAACACACACTGATATTCACAGTGATTGTGAAACATGAATAGTGTCATTCTGTTGGTCTGTTCTCACCACCTCTCTGCAGCACTGGCTAGAGGGCTAATTGCTGCTCTATTACAGGTGGGGAAACCAAGGCTCTGTGAGGCCAAACAGTCACCCAAGCTCCTGGGGCTAAGCAAGGGCCTTTGCCTCAGATCTGCCTAGCTCCTAACACTGCCCTGTACATTTTCTTAACCAGTCAGCCTCTGTTTCAGGCAGACCCTGGTGTGAAATACAAGGGGTGAGAGAAGGAGAATGAGAGCTACCTTTCAACAAATAGACCATCTCACTCATGGCTTCTTGACCTCAGCAACACCGGCATTTGAGGCAGGATAACCCTGGGTGGTGGGATGGTCCTGTGTATTATAGGATGTTTAGCTGCCTCCCTGGGTCTCTATCCACTAGAGCAAGTTATGACAACCAAAAATGTCTCCAGTACTGTCAAATGTTCCCTGGGGGATAAAATTGTCCCCAGCTGAAAACCACTCTATTAAGTTTTAAAACTATATCAGCTGAAGAAAAGTGGTAGCGCATATAAGGTACTCATCACAAACCAAGATCTTCCCCCACAAGAACATCAGGCAGGTAAGTCAAAGAAGATGCTATTGACAAGGAAAGGGGGAATGAAGGTGTATATGGTATGTATTTTGTATCCATATATGAAAATAAAGAAGGAAACCTGTTGAAATTGTTCTAAGAGGAAGGGGGGGGGAAGGGAGAATAATGGAGGGGGTAAATTCATCTAAGATATATTTTAAGTACATATGTAAGCATCACAATGTATCCCCCTGTACAATAATTATACGCTAATAAAATCATTACAGAAGATGTTATTGCCCCAAAAAGTTACATAACTTCTCTTTTGGAAGTGCCTTCAAAGCCTAAAAATATTCTTTTAATAGATCTGTGGTGGCTGGTCCCAAAGAACTGCTGAAAATTAGACTGAGAATGGAAGACTGAGGCCTGCAAGGAGCAATGTGAGTGAGAAATTCTCTGGACGTGTCATCTTTGGTGTACCACCTTGAAGCCAACCTCGTCCCTTCAGGGCTATCGGTTTCCAGGTGGTGCTTCAGCTGCTGCAGATGCTGACAGTGACTTCTAGTTAGACTGGGAGCCCCATGAGACATGACAGCTAGCTGCTGTCACACCAACTACCCCCACCATGCCCCAGCTAAGCATGACCCACTATGAATGTCAGCAAGTGAATTAATGACTAAGTGAATGAGTGAGTGACTGCAATCAGGCATTCAATGAATACTAATAAGATACAGACACTGTCAGCAATAGAAAACATGGACCTCCTTATGGGGAAGAAAAATGGTCCAGGGAAATTTCCACAATCATAACAGGAAACCAGAGAATCAGGTGACACTGCTTCCTAAAGGATAAAAGATGGTCATAAGAGCTTCAAACTCTATTTGAAGCTATTATTATTATTATTATTATTATTATTATTGTTATTATTATTATTACTATTATTATTATTTTGGCGATGCTGGGGTTTGAACTCAGGGCCTCACACTTCCAAAGCAAGTGCTCTACCACTTGAGCCACTCCGCTAGCCCTGTTTTTTGTGTTGGGTATTTTCATGATAGGGTCCCACAAACTATTTGCCGGGGCTGGTTTGAACCATGAGCCTCCTGATCTCCGCTTCCCAAATAGTTAAGATTACAGGTGTGACCCACCAGTGCCTGGCTCTCTTACTATTTCTAATGTAGCCTCAATTACTTTATAACCAAAGACAGCAAAAACAAAAGAGCTCCCAGAAGTTAAGATCTCACCATGTGCCAGACATTGTAGGAAGTGCTTTAAGCACTTTCTTGCTTGACTCTGTGACTAGCTCCATTAGATAGATATCAGAGTCCTCAAAAACAAGAAGTTGCTGGGGTAGAGGTTAAAATTCTTACATAAGTCATCTATCAGTAAAGTGACAAAGCTGGGATTTAAATCTGGGTCAGTCTGAAAATGGTCCACACTCTACTCATGCCTCCATCCTACCTTTTGAGGATGAAGAGGAATTTGCAAGTTCAAATTGACTTACTGACTTATTTATCATATTAATAACCCACCAGTTGCAGTGTGCCATGAAGGATACAAAAATTGATAAGTAAGCAATGTCTGTGATATAAAGGGATTTGTAGTTTTGAGTCTGCAAATCCTGTTAGATAGAATTCCTTCTATAAAGACGTGTTAAGGGAAACAGGGGCAAGGCCTTATTAAAATCTGAAGGTCTTGGCTTTCAAGTAAAAATAGCTTTGCCTTAAGCTATTGTACAATCGTCTACAAACTCTATGAAAATCAGTGAAATTTTATAATTTTTTAAAAAGGCAGTTAAATGTCATCTTTAAGCACAGTAATAGTTATGTGATGTAAGTGAAGTTTTTGTTGTATTCAATAAAGGCAAAAGTTCATATTTCAAAAACAAAAGCAAATCAATAAAGGGACAAGATGATCATTCAACCTCCCCAATACCATCACGAAATTATAACCAAATGTTTGTCCAGTTTTTTTTTTTCTTTTGGAAATAGGATCTTCCTATGTAACCCAGACTGCCCTCAAACTGGCAATTTTCATGTCTGAGTCTCCTAAGTGCTGGGATTACAGGCATGTGTCATCACATCAACCTCTGGCCAGTCCTTCATTAATTCATTTCAACCTACCACTGTACTTCCCTTTCCAATTTATGATCATTTTTTCCCAAAGTGACACCTATTTATAATCATTCATTTTTAATGACTCCTGTTTATTTGGAGTTTGTTGTTATTAATGTACACTTTAGGGCATGGTTAAAAATCATAGTTTCCTGGAGCCATGTCTGGTTACATGCCTGTAATCCCAGCTACTCAGGAGGTGGAAGTAGGAGGATTGAGGTGACCAAGGCAAAAGCACACCACCCTATCTAAAACAAAACAAAAAAGCAAAAGGACTGGAGTAATGGCTTAAGCAGCAGAGTACTTGTCTAGCAAGCATGAGGCTGAGTTCAATCCCCAGTACTGCCAAAAACTAAAATATATATATATACATATGTATATATATGTATATGTGTGTATACATATATATATATTTTTTTTATATATATATATAGCTTTCTCACTGATGAACAAATCAATTGATTCCTCTATTTGTAAACTAAGTTATAAAGGAACAAAGGTAAATGACATCTGAAAATATCTAACACCCAAGGAGTAAAGTTTGAGGGTTTTCGTTGTTTCTCACTTTACCTCTGTTAACATGTCCTCGACACTCAGGAACAACTCTTCTGCTTCATTGGTCTTGCCCATAAGCTTCAAAAAACTTGCAATGAACATTATCAGTCGGCATTTATCAGTGTCGGTCATCTGGAAAAGTCTGCATTCCAGCACTAAATGGGAAGAAAAGGAAATAATCCTAAACCCACCTGGCAAGGAACAAACACACCCCATGGCTTAATCCTGATGCAGGATTCCAGTTTCTTATTGGAGAGACCAGCACTTTGCTTTTATTAAGGTTTACATCTATTATCAAGTATTTTTAAACCGTGACATTCAAAAATAACTATAATATTATTGAATAACCTTGGTGAGTACAATTTAAAAACTAGAGGGCCAAAAAAAAGAGTATTTATATAGCTCAATCTACGTATTGCTATAATTTGTGTTTGGGGATGATTTTCACATAAAAAGCAAGAGATATTTATGTTTCTTATACAATTCTGCCCTCTATTGCAACTGTCTTGAGTTGCTGGCTTTATTGTTTGGTTTTTTTTAATGCATAAAAGCCTGAACATACTCCCACATACAAGATCAAAAAATAGTACAGCATAACTTTGTTAAAATTTAATTATAAATTCTAAAGCACCTGCTATGAGTCTTGCACATGATATATACTCAGTATTAACTACATCTTGGAATTGCTAACTTTACCAGAAAGAAAATGTTAGAACAAGGCAGTGAGTGCATATTTGTGTGCATATATGTGTAGTTACATGTTATACACAAATGAAAATATAAAACAGAATATTTTTAATTTAAAGACCCAATTAAATACCTGGTGCTACCAAGCTGTCGTTTTCAGAATTTCTCTTTTCATAAGTTCTAGTACCTAAGCTTCTACATTTGTTTGTGTGTTTCATTTCAAATTATTGGATCTAATGGGTTTGTCACAAAATGTATTCCTTGATCCTCATCTGTTCTCTTTGCCTCTTTTCCATGAGTCACAGCCATGCAGAGTACATGGGTACTGAACGCCTATGGCGAGCAGCATAGTAGGCTCTGAGCAACCAAGGCTGCAGCCCTCAGCACTGCAGACCCAACAGAACCCAGAATGCTTCAGGTCAGAGGGCAAAACCAAAAACAGAGCCAAGGGAGAAAGAATGCTGAGGGACAGAGTCCATGACATTTGTCCAAAGTGAGCTTCCAAGCAAAGGGCCTAAGATGGGAATGAGAACAAGGGGAAGAATCAGGAGACAGAAACCTCAGGACCTCAAGCAGTTGCTAGAGCAGGCAAACGAGACTGTAGTTTGGAAGAACAGTGGGGGTGGAGGGCTTTCGCATGTTCTACGAGGATTATAGGGTCCCCATTCCTATCAAGGGCCCAGGCTGGACAGAAGATGGCCATCACTGCTTTAATACTCAAGCCATCCATGCTCTCATAAACTACCACAAATTGGGTGATTTAAAATAACAGAAAAGTGTTCTCTTAGAGTTCTGGAAGCTACAAGTACAAAATCAAGGTAATGGTAGCACCATGCTCCTCCTGAAGGCTCTTGGGAAGAGACCTTCTTTGCCTCTTCCTAGCTTCTCGTGACTCTGAGCAATTCTTGGTGTTCTTGACTTGTAGATGCATTACTCCAATCCCTGCCCCTGTCTTCACGTGGCATTCTCCTTTCTGTGTGTGTCAGCATCCAAAATTCCCTCTTTCTATGTCACTAGTCATTGGAGTAGGAACCACCCTAATCCAGTATGACCTCATCGCAACTTGATTACATTTGAACAGACCCTATAGTAATTCCAAATAAGGTCACATTCACAGATAATATGGGTTAGGACCTGAACATATCTTTTTTTAACACAATGCTATCCATCATAACAGCCAACACAACACCAAAAAAAGTGTGCTAGAACAATTAGACATCCCTATAGGGAAAAAAAAAAGAATTTAACATAGATGTTAAACCTTTCACAAAAATTCACTCAAAATAGATCATAGGCCTAAACATAACATGAAATACTATTAAACTTCTAGAAGAAAATCTATGTGATCTCTGACTTTGGTGTTAAGTTTTTAATTACTTATATATAACATCAAAGGCATGATCCAAAAAAGAAAATGTTCATAAATTAGAATTCATTAAAGTTAAAATATTCTACTTTATGACAGATACTACTAAGAATGAAAAGACACACCACAGATTGAGAGAAAATATTTGTAAAATATATAGTATCTGATAAAGGACTTGTATTCAAAATATACAAAGAATTCTTAATATTCAACAATAAGAGAACAAATAACCCAATTTCGATGAGTAAAAATATTTGTATAGACCTTACCAAAGAAGATATATAGGTGGCAAATAACCCTATGTAAAGATGCTCACCATCATTTGTTACTAGGGAGTTCTTGTTAAAACAATAAGATACCCACACACACCTGCTAGCATGGCTAAAATTTAAAAATACAAAAATGAAAGTGACAGAGCTACATCCTAAAAAGGATGCAGAAAGACAGGAACTCCCGTTCATTGCTATTGGGAATGCAAAAATTGTAAGTCCCTTTGGAAGATGGTTTCACAATTTCTTATAAACTAACTTTGCATATTAGAAATATTAATCCTTTGCCTGCTATGTATGCTAAATATTTTCCCAGTTGCTCACTTGCTTTTTAATTATGTTTCTGATTGTTTTGTTGTTTCACATAGAGAAATTTTATGTTTAGACAGATTTATCAATTTTGTTCTTCATGATTTATTCTTTTGCTTTCGTGCTTAGACCTATCTATATTCTCTTCCAAACTTTTTAAATATAACTTCATTTTCTTACATTTTACTCTAATCCTTCTGAAAATGATTTTGGTATAGTTTTGGGTAACTAGACTTCTTACCAAGTAGTAAACCATTCCCACAGCACTATTTTTCCATAATCTATCTTCATAAATAGAAACTCAAATATCCTGAAAGTTCTGTCACTTCCTCAGTTCCTATTTCTATACCTGAACATCTGAATTTCCATTTTGTTCCAGTGACTGGTCTATTTTTGTTCCTGGTTGGATTTTCTACATTATCATAGGTCCATAGGATGATTAAATAACTTGACACTCAAATTGCTCTCATTATTTTAAACTATTCTCAAATACTATTTCTCCAAGAACTTTAGGATCATCTTGAAAACTTAGAAATGTTTTAATCCATTGAGATTTCAATTAAAATTACTTTATGTCTGTAAGTCAATTGATAGTTTTATAACATTGAGCTGTCCCACCCCAAATATGGTATGTCTCCTTATATACTAAAATTTTATTCTCTATGATATTGAAGCTTTTAAAAAATAAGGATCCTGTAAACTTCTTGTTAAAGTTATTCTTAGATAATTCACACTTTCTGTGGCCATTGCAAGTTGAGTAATTTGTTTATTTATTTGTAGAGCTATTAAAAACTTTAATCAACAAAATGATTGATTAAATGGTTGATTCAATATATCCAAAACATTTAGAGGTTTCTGAAGGCATTTGGGGCAAAGCTTCATACAGTAGTCATGAAAACCCTGTATTTTTCTATTTCCTTCCCTGGAAGTGCAATGTATTAGCATTTGCCCTAGTTGGAAAGGTCACCCTATCCTACCATAGCTGCCATCTGGAGGGCAGCCAGCCATCTGCCAAGATGGACCCATGCTGGGACCCAACCTTCTGCCCAACATTGGGCAACCTGCTTCCAAGGGCCTCCCTCTCTTGCTGTCACGTGCCATACCCGCTCTTAGTCTGTTTCTTCCTGTCTATGACTCTGTCCAAAAATGGATTTTCTTTACTTTGAGGTGACCCAGGGCTCAGCCCCAAACAAGAGTATCATACCAGAGAGAATCCATAAAAAGTACCCAAGCCTTGACATGGTTCCCTAGGCTAAAGTCCTCTCCACCAGTTATCTATCAGAGATGTGAATTTCCAGAATGCTTTTCTCAAGGAGGGGCAAACCCCCCAACACTGAATAACAGATGGGTCTGGAAGCACCTGAGGAGAAATGAGTCCACGACTCCGAAATGTGGCTCATCTCCAGTTAATCTAAGAAGTTAGGGTGTTTTCTCCTCCAGCCACCAGGGAGAGTCAAATCATGTAGCCAGAGAACTAACCCAACAGGGCATGCATGTATCCAGAGCAGCACCATGGCATCATCAGACACTCCTCGACACCCCTATTCTACTAATGGTACCCTTGGAAAAATCTGATTTCTTAAAGGAACTTTCTTGAAGCTACCAGGGGTCAAAAGTATGAGTGTCCTACTTATCCCCCAGAACAGAAGGGGGCCCAAAACTCCTGCTCCCACCTTGGCCCAAGTCATGATTGGCTTGCATTTCCTCAGGCAGCTTTCTAAGGCTGTCTGCCGACCCCTCTCTGTTCCACACTGCTCTGAAAGAGTAACAATTATGGATTTTCCTTCATTCCCCCAAATCACTCGTTTATAATAGACTTCTACTAAAAATGAAGGGTATCAGAGTAGGGTTTCAACATACCATAGAGCAGAAAATAATTGCAAATGGAATATTAGGCATTTAATTAATATAGCTGCCCTCCATCCTCACCTTGTGATGTTCTACTACTTTTTTTTTTCTTTTCTTTTCTCTTTTTTTAGTGTCTCACCATGCAGCCCAGGCTGGCATCAAACTAGAAATTCTGCTTCTACCTCTCAAATGCTGGGATTACAAGTATGCATCATCACATCTGGCTAAATTCTAACCCTTAATTCTGGTTTTCCTCTGACTTCTCTAGTCCTGCCTTCTCTTCCCTTTGATGTGCCTACCTCTCCTTCCCCCTTTCCCTCATGGTCTCATTTCTTCTCCCAGTCCTCAAAGTAGTCAGGTATCTCAGGCCTAGCTCTTTCTCTGAAGCCATTGAGTATTGCTTCCTGACTTCTACAGTCATCCCAGAATCATGGGCTTCCATCCCCAAAAGCTGCTTCTTTGAGAAGCAATTACAGTATCATCTACCCAGTCTTTCAAGACAGAACTGTAAGCATCATTTTTTTACTTTTCCAGCTTCTACACCCAATTGATGACCAAATCCTGTAGATTCCATGCCAAAACCTTCCTCTGAGCTCCTATTGCCATCCCCTGGTCTAAGCCAGCATTGGCTTTCACCTCGTTACCACTAGCAGGTCTCGTTGAAGCCATGCTTGTC